TTGATGGAGTAGCATCTGACTGGTTTTACCTTTTATCGCCCACAATTCAGCAATAACTGCCAAAGCTGATATGACCGCAATGCTGATAAAAAGTTGGCGGAGTGTTTGGCTGTGAGCTAATTCCGATGCTTCTTGACAAGAATCCATAGCAGCGCTGTAATCGAATTTAGCACATTTTGCAAAACTTTCGAATAATTAAGTCTTTTTCTGCAATATACTAAGTGTACTATATAATAGCTTTTAGTAAATTAAATGAAAATGCCAAATCAAGTACATTTTTTAAGCAAGAAACACCCTAAACTTTTAGAACAACATAGAATTCATTTAAAATTTTTTAAAAACATTTCTTTTATAAAAACTTGGCTTTCATAAATGCTATCAATATTTTAGTTCAGATTCGTAAAAGGAATAGAATTATTTGAAGTTTTCTCCAAAAATTTTTACAATAAGTAATAAAGTTTTGCTCTATTTTGAGTTGAATGGGATTAAACTAGTAATGAAGCAAATCTGCTAATGAGTGCAAAAACTGAACTAAATTATTAGTACAGGTCCATGAGAATTAAAATTTTAATAAATAAATTAATTCGATTGCCAGAGGAAAATTGTTTTGCAGAAATTGTAGTAAAAGTGTAATTACATCTTTTTAAAAGGTGTAAAAGACTGAAATGTATGCAAAAATAGTTAAAATATTCTGTTTTCCAGAAAATTTTTTTCACTAAAATTATGAGTAAATTTCGTTTCCAGTAAAAACTTTTTGTTGCAGTACAACATATGAAGTGGTATTCAATGAAGCAATGTATTTTGTTTCTCCTCTTTAATAAAAATTGTATTTGAAATATTGGAATGAGAAGTATTCCTATTCAATGATTTGGATATTTTGAACAGAGTAAATGGATAAGATTGGGTCAAAATGTTAATTATTTGCATTTTATGAATAAATTTTCAACAGTAAATGTGATTGCAAACTTTTTAAGATGCAATTACAAATTGCATTAAGTCAAAATTTTTTTGCCTCTTTCAGTAAACTCATAACTGCAAATTATAAATTCGGAAACTCTTTCACTAATTATCAGCGAGAATCATTAGCATTTTTTGATTAAGCTAAAAGTTTTTCTAATTTATTAGTTTTACTACAATATTTAGTACAAATTTATTGTATCCTAGCAACACAGAAATTGACAGTTTTTCGTTTGCAAGGCTTTTTGAATGCATATTTTTAAAACAAGAAAAGATTTTGCTATATTTATGGGATAAGTATACTAAAAAGTGATTCAAGTAGAGAAGGTGCTAGTCATTGCAAAGGAAATGAAGACTGAAAGTTTTTCAAGTAATCAAAAATTTATTATTTATTGAAGAGGCTGATGTGGATGTTACCCAGTTTATTAATTATTGCTACTCAGAAGTTGTACAGTCAAAGGAAAAGGAAATTGAAAAGGTAAGTAATTTATTATGAGATTAAATATCAAAATAGAGATTTTATGATAACAACGTTTTATATGCAATTTCAAGATGGAAATGTCAACTAAAAACTCTACTATTTCCTAGCTTTTTCTTCTAGTCAATTAAATATTAAAGAAATTTAAATTCAGTTGCAGATTGGATAAGTTTATTTTATGCAAAATAATAAGCTTGGATATCTTTCTTGCCTAACAATAAACATATTTCTTTTCTGCAGTTTTATTTTCGTATCAGTTTTCATACTTATCCAATCGAAACCAAACAATCTGACAAAATGCTTAATTTGTAAGATAATTTTTTGCTATTACGGAAACTAACACTATATACAGTAGTATAAATGACTGGCATAATTGTTTTCATATTTAGCTTTACACTGCAAGTACTTTCTGGAACTTATATCGTGTATGGCGTTGCCTTATTATTGATATTGGATTATTTTATTATGAGCTGTGAACTTTCTGAAATCGGAAGCGCTTTACAAACAATTCTGACAGACACAAGAAAAGTACAATCTTTGTTATTTAATCGAAATTAGACACAGAGAAGTATTGAACATGAATAAATT